GCCCCTTACCATATTTTTTTTTTTTTTACTTTTCATAGAATATTTTACTTAAATATTTGAATTTTCTTCTCCAAAGCAGAAATTAAGTTTTAAAATGATACTGTTTACATACTCATCCACTGATTAAATTCAGTATACTTACCCTTTGATTGTTCTTTGATTTTCTTTTTTTTTATTGGATGTATTATTTACATTTCCTATGTTGTCCCCTTACCCCATCCCCCACCCACCCAGGAACCCCCAATCCCCTCACCCCTCCTCCTTCTTCTCTGTGGATGTAACCTCTATCTACCCCCCCACTCCCACCTCCCCACCCTCAAAATTCCCACCCCCTGGGGCATCCAGCCTTCATGAGGTCAAGGTTCTCTTCTTCCACCTATGCCCAGCAGGGCCCTCCACTCTTACATATTCAACTGAAGCGCTGGATCCCTCCCTAAGGCTGGTGGTTTAGACCCTGGGAGCTGTGGTTGGTTGGTATTGTTGCTCTCCTCATGGTGCTGCAAATCCTTTCAGCTCTCCTTTAGTCTTCACTCTAACTCCTCTATTGAGAACTCCATGATCAGTTCAATGGCTAGTTGTGAGCATCTGCCTCTGAGTATGTCAGACTCTAGAAGACCTCTGAGGAGATATCCATATCAGGCTCTTATCAGCATGCACTTCCTGACTTCCACATCAGCATCTACCTTTGGTGCTTGCACATGGGATAGATACTCAGGTGGAGTGGTCTTGAAATGGCCCCTCCTTCAGTTTCTGTCCTTCACTTTGTCTCCATATTTGCTCCCTTGAGTATTTTGTTGCTCCTTCTAAGAAGGACTGAATCATCCCCACTTGGTCTTCCTTCTTTATGGGGTTCATGTGGCCTGTGTGTTGCATCTGGGGCATTTCAAGGTTATTATTGGGCTAATATCCAATAATCAGTGAGTGAATACCATGTGTGTTCTTTTGTGATTGGCATACCTCACAAAGGATGATAATTTCTAGTTCCATCCATTTACCTAGGAACTTCACGAATTCATTGTTTTTAATAGCTGAGTAATACTCCATTGTGTAAATATACCACATTTTTTTAATCCATTTCTCAGTTGAAGGACATCTGGGTTCTTTCCAGCTCCTGGCTATTATAAACAAGGCTGCTATGAACATAGTTGAGCATATGTCCTTGTTATATGTTCGAGCATCTTCTGGGTATATGCCTAGGAGTGGTATAGCTGGATCCTCAGGTAATGCTATGTCCAATTTTCTGAGGAACCGCCAGACTGATTTCCAAAGTGGTTGCACCATCTTGCAGTCTCACCAACAATGGAGAAGTGTTCCTCTTTCTCCACACCCTCGCCAGCATCTACTATCACCTGAGTTTTTAATCTTAGCCATTCTGACTGGTGTGAGATGGAATCTCAGGGTTGTTTTGATTTGCATTTCCCTGACGACTAAGGATGCTGAACATTTCTTTAGGTGCTTCTCGGCCATTCGAGTTTCTTCCGTTGAAAATTCTTTGTTAAGCTCTATACCCCATTTTTTAATAGGGTAATTTGGTTGTCTGGAGTCTAATTTCTTGAGTTCTTTGTATATATTGGATATTAGCCCTCTATCAGATGAAGGATTGGTAAAGATCTTTTCCCAATTTGTTGGTTGTTGTTTTGTCCTATTGCCTTACCATATTTTTTAATTCCAAATAAATGTAAAAATTCCAGCAAGAAAAGGACAGATCTATGTTCCCATTTTCCATCTGTTGTCTGACTACGGATGAGGAGCCTGTAACCTTTCACTTAGAAGTGGGCCCTTGAGATGTTCAGACAGACTAACTAAAATTTCCTATAGGTTTTGGTCACTATGCAAAACTCAATCCATTCTTGTGATACTATTCATGCGGTAATACAGGTTTGAGGACTCATTTATCTACATATCTCTTCCTGAAAAGTGATGACTATGTTCAACCTGTCTGAGTGTCAAAATAAACACAAAAATCCACACTGACTTGTCACTCTGCCCCTCAATCAGGACACCCTAAAACCAAAGGTTTCATCACCCACGGTGGAACAAATAGAATTTACGAAGCCATTTACCACGGGGTCCCTATGGTTGGGGTTCCGATGTTTGCTGATCAGCCTCACAACATCGCTCACATGGAGGCCAAGGGAGCAACCCTAAAAGTTAACATCAACAAGATGACAAGCTCAGAGTTTCTCAGTGCCTTGAGAGCAGTCATTAATGAGCCTTCGTAAGTATTACAGCGTGGAAAGCTCTACCAAACATTGGTTAGCCTTGCTGTCATTCTCGATATTTTCCAATGATTTATATTTTATATTTGTCTTATTTTCAAACAGGATAATATAAAACAAAGGCAAAAAAAGGAAGAAGAACATTTTTTTTCAAATTTCCAGTCTTTTTTTTTTTTTAATCTTTGTTTTCTGACTTCTACTAGAGTCAGTTTCTGAAACTTCGAAAAATATTTGCTTGAAGATTGTACCAATCTATATGTTTGTAAAATGTAGTATGATTATGCAAATACACTTGTAGTTTTAATTTAAGAAATAAATATATAAGCATGTAGATACATTGTTTAACTACAAGGTAGAACTGATAATGTAACCAATATTATTTTTCAAAAATAACATATAGTATTATGTTTAACAAAAGTACTATGACGTAATAGTTGTTTCTTAGTAAGTGTGTCATAATATTTTGGCTATTAGAAAGACACATTTTAGGAGATAACATTAGGGTTACAAATATTGAGATTTCTTAGAATAAGTGACTTTTTTGCATAAATATTAACATAAATTTTACATTAGACTGTTACTATGTTTTTAGCTGATGTCAAATTGACTCATTTTTGTTGTGTTCAAAGTGGCTAAGTTTTATGATTATTTTAAACATTAATGCACAGAATAGTCAATTACTCCATTATTTTAAATCGATCAATGTACAAAAAATGATGTAAATAATTATAGAAAGCTCCTTTGTGTGTGTGTGGGGGGGTGTGGGCTTGAACACGTATGGACTAAAATAGTATTTAACTTTAATTTGATGTTAACACTAAGTTGTGTAGTACTTCTAAGATTATTTGAAATATAGGGCATAGTGTTTTTATAAGACAATCTGATTCTATAAAACAACTACAAATTTCAATAGGGAGTTGGGAAGGGGGCACAGTGTAAGTTCTTGCTGTGCACATGTGTAGACCTGAGTTCAGATCCTCAGTGTTCTCGATTTGTCTGTAATCACTGAGCTACTAGAGAGAAAGGAGAAGTAGAGACAGAATCCATAAAAGCAGACCAGCTGGGATGGTGTGCACAGTAGTAAAAACCAGATCCTCTAGGCTGGTGTGCACAGTAGTGAACAACAGACCCTCTAGGCTGGTGTGCACAGTAGTGAGCTACAGACCCTTCTTAAATAAGATAGAATTTAAGGACTAAAACCTAGTTAGTGGCCTCTACCTCTCCATGTGTGTGTACCACCCACCCATCATGTACACTTTACATGGAAAGATAAGGAAAAGAAGCAAAAGAGGGTATATTCTAACTGTACATAAGAATGGTACTTATGTTAGTTATTCAGGATGTTTTAAGACTTTTATGTCTAAACATTTAGTGACTAAAATGTGAAACTAATTGTACATGGTCTTACCTTTCTTATAAGACAAGGAACTTTTAAGGTTTGGAATCACAATGTTTTCTAACAGACATATGTAAATTTGAAATTTAATCTCTAAAGAGGAGCAATAAATATATTGTTGGAAAAACAACTTTGCAATATTAGAATTTTATCACCAATACAGTTTGTCTAAACTTCAGCTGGATGACCCTGTGAAACTATATTATGACTCTGCCTTAAGGTCTGTCATTGGGTTATTTTTTTCAGTTTAATTTTTCTGTTTTGTTTTCACACAGAACCAAGAATAAGGCATACCCACAGCAAGGAATTACAATGAGGCTGGGTTCTATAGGTAAAAGTTCTGGAATCCAGTGTGGTCTCTGACCAATAACATGGAAGTAAGCAGGCCACAATATATATGTAAAGTCTACCTAAGGAAGAGTAATGGTCTGAGGAGGGCAGTGTCTGAAATAATCATTCTGAGGCACTAAGGTGAGATCTGTCACCACAGATACCAAAACAGTCACCAGGTTGTTAGCAATCTCCACTCTTAGTTTTCTGAATGGAATTCAGGTATTTGGTTTTATCTCCTCTCTGAAGGACACTACCCTGTGTAACTAACATTCCTAGTTCTTTTTGTGCTTTCTATGAGTACAATAACCACTGGGTCCCCAACACATTATGGAGTGAAAGATCTCTGAACTCTAAAATGACTTATGCTGACTGCTTATTCTCTGTGTCAGTAACATGAACTACTCCATGCTAGTGGTCATATATGTGTATGTGTGTCCCCATCTTTATCTTAAACAATCTTGGGCACTATAGTTTCTTGATATCACAACTCTTTCAAAAAGATGAGTTTTGATTTAATACTAGATGTTACACTTTTTATGTCTGCATTTGATCACATTGTCTTAGGAACAGATTGCTTCCATAATTTTTCCTTTAAACTCCGGAAGATCCTTGAAATCAACAAAGTCCAAGAAAGTATTAAGCATTTCCTAAACTTACATATGACTTGTGGCTGGCATGACATATAGGATGTTCTATAAACAAGCAACATAAGTTTTGTGTGTTTCTCTTTTAGTTTTAAAGAGAATGGCATGCTATTACCAAGAATTCACCACAATCAGCCTGCAGCCTGTGAAGCCCTTGGATCTTGCTGTTGTCTGTATTGAGTTTGCCCTGCATCACAAAGAAGCCAAACATCTTCCTGTGGCAGTGCATGACCAAAGCTGGTTTGAGTACTACTCCCTAGATGTGATACAGTTCCTGCTGGCTTGTGTTGTAACTGTGAATTCATAATTATTAAATGTTGTTTGTTTATGTGTCAAAAATTTTATATGAAAGGAAGGAAGAATGAGGGAAACAAAAAGAAAAAGAACTAAGTATTTTCTTAGGTTTGTGAAAGTCCTGAGTGACAGTTATATTAATTCTACCATAAGAAGCTTGTAGCCACCTGCTTTTGACCTACTTTCAAATAAGCTGTACTGTTTCTGAGTGGAAATACTTGTAACACATTCTATATGATAATGAACTACTGATGCATTCCATTCTTATATCTTGTAGGCATTCTCTTCTCACTCTCCTCAGATATGGAAACTGTGACTTCTAAATATATTCTATAGAATGACGTGGTGAATAACAATACGCTAGACCTCTGGGAAGGCACATAATACAAATGTTATTGATGTACAACAGGATCTTTTAGAGTCGATGTCACAAGCCTATCATGTTATCTAAGTACCACTACAAGAATATTGTGTAGTGAGATGGTACTTTTCTAATAAAGATGACCTTTTCTGATTCTCTTGTGTTACAGATATTCAAGCATGAATTCTTTTTCATTTTCAAGAAATATTTTTATTGAAAAGAATTTTTATGCAACATATTATGGTCATTTTTCCCTTCCTTATTTCCTCTTAGATACCCCCAATCCCATTGCCCACTTAAATTCATTTTTGTTCTTTCTCAAAAAGTTAAAAAAGAAATAAAAACCCAACCATAACAAAAAACTGTCAGGGGTCTGTCTATCTCCTAGTCCCTCATTCTGATCCTAGGCTACCCCATAACTAACATTCTTGCAGTTCATACTTCAGACAATTGCATACATGAAGCCATCCACCATGGCATCCCTATGGCTGTCATTCCTTTGTGGAACAATGTGATAATGTTGCCAACATTGTGGCAGAAGGAGTAACTGTAGGATTGGATATCAGAGCACTTTCCAGGATAGATGATCTCACTGCAGTTAAATTATTCGTTAACAATACTTTGTAAGTATAATCATTTTAATATTTACATACATATTTATTCTTTAGCCCAATGTTTAAACCCTGATTTTTTTCTTTTGTTACTTTTATCTTTTGTATATGATAGGCAAGTACTCTATCAGTGACTTCTGTCCTTAGGTCTTTTTATTTATTTGTACATTCACTTACCTACTTGCTGTATACTTGATATTGTTTAGTTCTGACCTGAATGAAAAGAGAATAGAAATAAGAGTGGAGGCCAAAAAGATGGCAGAGATAAATACAAATATAAGAGAGTGTCACAAAAGTCTTTGGGTTTTGATTTTTTTTTTTTTTTTTTTTTTGTCTTTCGTTTCTTATAAAGTGTCTGGCTATGTCAAAAGGCCAGATTGATGTTGACATTTCAAGTAACTTTTTCTTTACTTCTTAAAAAATGTCTACAATCACTGATTTTTTAATTAAGCATTAAGTCATAATCTTGAACATTCTTTGTAAGCAATATAGGTCACAGGGTGTACCCATGGTTCCAGCTGGATATGTAGCAGAGGATTGTCTTATCAGGCATCATTGCAAGGGAAGCCCCTTGATCTTGTAAAGGCTCGAAGACCCAGAATAGGGGAATGCTAGGGCAGTGAGGCAGGAGTGTGTGGGTTGTTGTGAGAGCACCCTCATATAGGTAGGAGAGAAGAAGGTCTTGTGGAGGAGAAACTGGGAAGGTGGACAACATTTGAAATGTAAATAAATAAAAACTGAAAAAATATACTAAATGTTGTTAGTACTCTTGCTTTCATGGTATCTAAGGAAACATGAGCAAGACACACTGAGTTTCTGAAAATAAAGAAATTAAACATGAACAGCAGAAATTCTGAGAACAATGTGCTCAGAGACGTAGAGTCTTCAGCCACACAGGTAACCCTTCACTTGCTTTCCAGATAGATAATTAGAAATGGTATCCATGAGCTTTCAGTTTTAGAGAGTTAAAAGTGAACAAGACATGATGGAGAGTGTTTTGGGGGACTCCTTCTGTGGGGATACAGTTCCATTGCCTTGATCATAGGGTTCCCAATGGAGGAATTAGAGAGAAGACTGAAAGAGCTGAAAGGGTTTGTGGTTCCATGAGGAGAGCGACAATACCAACCATCCAGAACTCCCCAGGGTCTAAACTACCAGCCTGGGAGCACATAGGGAGGGACCCATGACTCCAGCTGTATATGTAGGGGGAGGATGGCCTTATTGTACATAGGTTGGAGAGGAGATCCTTGTTCCCATGAAGGCTGGACTATAAATGTGAAGGAATTTCAGGGTGGGAAGGTGGGAGTGGGGGGGGGACAGTTGGGGACACATCCTCATAGAAGCAGGAGGAGGGGGGATGGGATAGGACGTTCCTGGGCAGGGGAGACGAATGGGGTAAGAATAACATCTGAAATGTAAATATAATATCCAATAAAAAATAAGTTAAAGTCTGGCGGTGGTGGCACACGCCTTTAATTCCATTATTTGGGAGGCAGGGGCAGATGGATTTCTGAATTTGAGAGTCTGAGGCTAGCCTGGTCTACAGAGTGAGTTCCAGGACAGCCAGGGCTACACAGAGAAACCCTGTCTCAAAAAAAAAAAAAAGATTAAAGCTACATGCTTACTGTAGGTTGTGAAGGCTGATTACCTAGTATACTACGTAGGTATTATTGTTTTCTTAATGGTAGGTTAAACTTAAAACAGGCTGAGCACATAGTAAACAGCAGATTGAGCACATAGTTCTAAATTAACTCAAGGCATGACTTTTTTCTTTCTTTTTTTTTTTAATTCATGCAATATATTCAGAACATCAGTTCCCTTCTCTCATACCCTCAGAGTCCTTCCCAAACCCCTACCCAACCAACTCCATGACTTATTAAGTTTAACAAAAAGGGACTTAATAAAATGCTCAAGGCAAAAGTGCAACAAATACACAAAATTCATAAAATTCAAAATTAGAATTCACAATTTAAAAAATCAGTAGAACAAAAGACAAGAAATTCAGAACTACCCAAACAAAGCAATACAAGATAAAAATGAAAAATCTACAAAAATCCCATTGAGCTTGTTGTGTTGGCCTTCTAGAGCTGGGCATGAGGACCACACTTAACTGTGGTTTACATGTCCTGTGAGAGTCCATTGAGAAAAACCAATTTGTATAGGCCCTGTGCATGCTGACACAGTCTGTATGGATTCACATGTGTGACGGTCCTATAGTACCTGGAAGACACTGCTTACATGATGTCATCTCTCCTCTCTTATTCTTAGAATCTTTCTGCCATTTCCTTCAGAGTTCCCTGAATCTTGAGGGAGTGGACTTTATGAAGACATCTCACATAGGAATGAGTCTTACAAAGTCTCCCATTCTCTACATAATGCCCAGTTTGTGTCACTGCATTTATTCTATCTACTGCAAGATGAAGATTATCTAATCATGGCTGAGACACTGATCTCAGGCTATAGCAGAATATCACACAGAGTCATTATTATCTTCTTTTCACAGAATAATAGTATTTGGGTTTTCCCTAGTCCCATGCTGTACCTAGTCTCAAGTTCTTTTCCACCCAATGAATATCAGAGACAAGACTTTCTATCTACTGGAATGGCTCTTAAATCTCATCAAAGAATGGCTGGTTACTAACACAAGGGTTGTGACATTATTCTATAAGCATACTTTGTTTTTGTTTGTTTGTTTGTTTATTTTATTTGTTATTGGATATTTTATTTACATTTCAGATGTTATCCCCTTACCCCATTCCCCACCCACCCTTGAACCCCCCATCCTAGACACCCTCCTGCTTCTATGAGTATGTTCCCCTAATCACCCCTGTACTCCCACATCCCCAACATTCGAATACTCCCATACTAGGAATCCAGCCTTCAAGGGACCAAGAATCTCTTCTCCCACCTATGCCCAACAAGGCCATCCTCCCCTACATATACAATTGGAGCCATTGGTCCCCTCTCTATGAGCTTGCAGTCTGGTGGTTTAGACCCTGGGAGCTCTGGTTGGTTGTTGGGCCATGGAAGGATATCTTGATTCTTGGCTGGGCATGGGCCTTTAACCTGACTCCAGTGAAGAAACCATAGGTGTTCGGCCATGCCCCCAGAACCCAGGCTCCTACACAAGGTCTAGACCAGCATTTAACCTGTGCCTAGGAGACACATTTGGCTTTGCAGCCCCTCCCAAAGGGGTGTCACCTAATACAGTGAGAGGGCCTAAGGGCTTCTTCCTCAAGAGATTTCCATATTAATGAGTTACCTAAAAGCCAGAGGTTGTAGCTAAATTAAGTGACCCTCCTCTTTGCCCCCTCCCTATTTAAGTCAGGCCTGCCCTGGCTTAAACGGGGGTAGGGGGTGCACATCTAGACCATCTATCACACACCGTGAACAATAAAGTCTTGGAACCTCTTTGGAATTTCCCATGTTATTGGGGCTTATCATCATGTAAGGCTTCCCTGTGTTCCACCACGAGACCCTCAGTTGGTTGGTATTATTGCTCACCCCATGGGGCCACAAACTCTTTCAGCTCCTTCAGTCTTCTAACTCCTCCATTGAGAACCTTATGATCAAATCAATGGTTAGTTGTAAGCATCTGCCTCTGAATACATCAGACTCTGGCAGACCTCTAAGGAGATAGCTATGTCAGGCTCCTGTCAGCATGCACTTCCTGACATCCACATCAACTTCTACCTTTGGTGACTTCACATGGGATGGATACCTAGGTTGTCTCCAGATGGCCCCTCCTTCAGTCCTTCAGTTTCTGTCCCACACTTTGACTCCATATTTGCCCCTTTGACTATTTTGCTACTCCTTCTAAGAAGGACCAAATACCCACACATTTGTCTTCTTCCTTCATGAGATTCATGAGGTCTGTGAGTTGCATCTTGGGTATTGCTAGCTCCTGTGCTAATATCCAATTATCAGTGAGTGAATACCATGTGTGTTCTTTTGTGATTGAGTTACCTCACTCAGGATGATATTTTTTAGTTCCATCAATTTACCTAAGAATTTCTTGAATTCATTATTTTTAATGAATACTCCATTGAGTAATACTCCATTGTGTAAATGTATCATATTTTCTGTATCCATTCCTCTGTTGAAGGACATCTGGGTTCTTTCCAGCTTCTGGCTATTATAAATAAAGCTGCTATGAACATAGTGGAGCATATGTCCTCATTATATGTTAGAGCATCTTCTGGGTATATGCTTGGGAATGGTATAGCTGGGTCCTCAGGTAATGCTATGTCCAGTTTTCTGAGGAACCACCAGACTGATCTCTAGAGTACTAGCACCAGCTTGCAATCCCATGAACAATAAAAGGGTGTGCATCTTCTCTACATCCTCACCAGCATCTACCATCACCTGACTTTTTGATCTTAGCCATTCTGACTGGTGTGAAGTGGAATCTCAGGGTTGTTTTGATTTGCATTTCCCTAATGACTAAAGATGTAGAACATTTATTTAGGTGCTTCTTGGCCATTCAAGTTTCCTCAGTTGAAAATTTTTTTTGTTCTGTACCTTATTTTAAATAGGGTTATTTGGTTTTCTGAAGTTTAATTTCATGAGTTCTTTTTATATATTGGATATTAGTCCTCTATCAGATATGGGATTGGTAAAGATCTTCTCCCAATCTGTTGGTTGCCATTTTTTCCTATTGATAGTATCCTTTGCCTTACAGAAACTTTACAATTTTATGAGGTCCCATTTGTCAATTCTTGATCTTAGAGCATAAGCCATTGCTATCACTTCAGGAACTTTTCTCCTGTTCCTGAGTATTCAAAGTTCTTCCCCACCTTCTCTTCTATTAGTTTCAGCGTATCTGGTTTTATGTGAAGGTCCTTTATCCACTTGGCCTTGAGGTTTGTACAAGGAGATAAGAATGGATCTATGTGCCTTCTTCTACATGTTGTCCTCCAGTTGAACCAGCACCATTTGTTTAAAAATGCTGTCCTTTTTCCACTGGACAGTTTTAGTTCCTTTGTCAAAGATCAAGTGATCATAGGTGTGTG